GACGACCGAGCCATCCATCTCCTCTTTTCTGCAAACCGGTGGGAGCTTGCGTACGTCCCTCCTACGCGTCTGATGTGAGAGCTGACGCGTTGCTCGTAGTGCCAGCATCGAACGCGATCTACAAGAGGGGATCACAATCGTTTGCGACCGGTACGCGTTCTCCGGTGCTGTCTTCTCAGCCGCGAAAGGTCTCCCTCTCGAATGGTGCAAGGCTCCGGATGCTGGGCTCCCCGCGCCTGATGCGGTGCTATTCCTGGATATTTCACCTGAGAAGGCGGCGGAGCGCGGAGGGTATGGGGAGGAGAGGTACGAGAAGCGGGAGATGCAGGAGCAGGTCCGGGCACAGTTTGCTGTACTTGGGAAACAGGTCAAGGGGTGGACGAGGGTGGATGCTGGAAGGTCGGTGGAAGAAGTGCAGCAGGATATTTCGGCAGTGGTCAAGCCACTTATTGAGCTGGTGCAGGGGCAGACGGAAAGATTGTGGGTCGATGACCTGCCTGGGAGGTAGACTTGTCACGGGACAAGTTGGGTCAGCATCCGGTACATTATCCGTAGAAGTGATGAAGCTGTAAAAGTTACAAGGCCTTGAATGATGTGTACGCGTACAGAAGTGAGGTAGGGGAGTGTTAAGGAATTGAAGTTCGGAAGCCTGTCAAGGCACAAAATGCCCAGTAACAGCGACAACATGCATGTCTGAGCTCTACTCTTGCGCAGCTACTTGGACAACATGCGACTGACGAGGACCGCAAGCGCAATGACGATCAAATAGCGCCACCTGGCCGTGAAGACTCGTAAGCGACCGGTCCAACCCGCGGGAGCCATAGGCTGACCGGGCACCGGCGCATGCTCAGCACCTCTGGCTATTACTGTCCCTGCACCCGGTTGCGGCACGGGGACCTTGGTACTTGCGGTCGTGTCTTGTGGCGCAACGGCCGGAGAAACAGACGTGCTCGTCTCGGCAGAAGCGACAGCATCTTTCGTTTCTTGACTCTTAGGCACTTCACCCATGTTCGGTAGGTCCTTCATCGCTTCCTCCGAAAACTGTATTTCCATCAATCACTGCCACGCGCATGCAAGGAAGAACCAGGACGCACATCTGGGAAAAGCTCCCTGAACTTCTTGTTCGCCCTATTGAACTCGTGACTCTTCTTCGCGAACATCTTCTTATCCAGATCCGTGGTAGTGATCGACCCTGTGGTGATCTCATCCGACAGCATGAACGACAACAGACCAGTGAGACTATATGTCCAGCCTGTATTCATACGATGTACAAAAACGGCGAGAAGAAAAAAGACGCACATCGTAGCCACACTCCAGGCAGGGTTCCACGTTCCCGGATGATAATCGCTCATGCTCGTACAGATCTTCTTGTCCGGCTGGAATCGTCCGCTCGGGGTAAACATCTGTCGAGGATCACTCCCGTCAGCCGGGGCCGTCACACATACAAGGTGGTGGAATGCCAACCTTGATACCTGGAGGCTTGAAGGGATAGTCGGAGGGAAAGGTAAGTAGTCCATAGTACTCCCCACCGTGATAGGGGCTGTCCGGTGGTCCTCGCTGCCGCATGTCAACACACAATATACTGAAGGATGGCGGTGGAGTCACATACAAGGATGTAATGCCCTGTTCTCCATATCAGTGAGTCACAAGGAATGCGGGGTAGTCACGCACAGTTCAATATATTCTTCTCGTCTGGAGATGCCCAGACGAACGGAGGAGCTGATTTCTGCATTGCCAGGTACTCTTTGGTGAGCTACAGGCGATGTCGGAGACACATGTCAGCCGTTATCTCACCATACGGATGTCGCAGAAGCATGCTCACCCGTTTGTGAGCCGCTTTTGACGCCATGGATTACCAGAACCTTGAGCGACGAAATAAAAAGAATAAAGAATAAAGACTTAGGGAACGAAAGAGCAGAGAGAGAGAGCGCGTGGTGTGGTGAGGGGAAGGAGTGAGGACGGTGGTGAAGGAGCGATAGGCGGAACGGCAAGATACAAGGAGGCAACACAGCCTTCAAATGCGCAATCCAGCCGATCGGCGTTATGCCGAATTGAGCGCTTCCACTAATTGGGGATGGTAATAAAACATATTTATTTATTTATTGTATTG